TTTCTGTTGCTTTTCTGGTGCTTTTCTGGTGCTTTTTGCTGGCACTAGCTTTGATCCGATTCTCCATTGTCCTGCTGCTTGGGCTTTGCTTTTCCCAGCGCTCTTGTTGATCCGATTCTGCTTTTTCCTGGCGCCATTCTTGGCCCGATTCTGTTTCATTATGGTCCAAACGCATGGTCTTCCAGCGCTCAAGTCCACAATTCTTCCTATTCTACGGTGGGGTTGCGATTGATGTTCAACAGCAGGAGCAGGCAACAGCGGTTGCAGCCATGAGAAGTGAGACTATTATGAGATTGGATTCTTGCTTGTGGCCCCAAAACTCAATTGGATTTCCTGGTGCTAATTTTGTGTTGTGTGTTTAGTACACATCCTAGTTTTGAACTATTACAGGGAAGGGGGTCCTGCAAACGTATATTGTTCGAGGGCTTTAAATGAGTAATGATTCGGGTTCCTTTTAGTTAGTGTCCTCCCCGAGATCCATTACTTTGCATTTACAACCGCAGCTACAAAAGCTGGTTTCTAGCTACAAGCGTGCTCACGGTGCCTTCGTGTTTGGCAGTCGGCAGGGTGAGGTCTCAGTCGCAGGCACGCTGAAAGCTAAATGCACACAAACCGCGCCACCTTTGCAAATAAGAGCCTGATGTCTTAATGACATTGCTTTGGCGTTTCAGGGTCCAACGCCCGACAGCCGAACACCAAAACAGCCCAGTGTGCGGGCTTCTCGGGGCAGAGTCCTGTAGGCCTCAGGGAGCTTTGATTTGACCCTCTTTCATGCTGAAGCTCCCCTTTCTTCCCGAAGTTTAAACCTCAATCCTGTCAGATTACGTATCGCAGGGCTGAGCGGCAACTGTAAAATCCGGCCGTGCTTGTTGCAATGGCCACCCAGAAGTCAAACCCAAAAAACTAAATCCTCGACCCCAACTACGCGTCAGACTTCCTAAGCACTCCTTCAAATGGCTTGGTGCTGAAGTGAGAGAGGGAGCGCAATCCTTGTAAGGAACCCTGTATCCCTACAATACTATGTATCCCCTGCCTACAGTGCAATAGTATTTTGCTGCCTCCCCATTACGGACCAGTAATGTGGACGTTGGCCTTGAATCAGTCTAACAAGTCTCCCTGAATTTCCTAGTGTTTGGGAATGGATCCCCATAATCGTCCCTTCTTAACTGCAACATTTCCTATACCCTTTTTTCATTCTCTTTCAACTACCACTAAACCAAAATGCAAAAACCTGAATGATACTGAACGTTAAGTATCACCACTAAACTATAATGTATACTCATTCCCCTATAATTAGTTCATATAGTACCTTCTGCCCCAAAGTTCATTCCAATCATTCTAGTCCCTACAGTATGCGTACTTTTTTTGCCAAACTCCCGAGAATAATCCGTGAGGCAGCGAAGGACGGATAATGCAGCTGGTCGTGCGGGAAAGGAAGCTCCAAGTCCAGAGGCTCGTGCAATTCAAGTAGGCCCCTAAATCATTGGCATAGGGTGATGGGGTAGGCTGCGGTTCTAAAACTGTGTGAGGACCAGGAAGGAGGTTCAGAAATTGCTCATTTTGGGAAGTCCCTGTAATGAGGATTATTGGATGCTTGGAGACCGGCTTCTTTCTTTTCGAAATGCACATTTAGGGGCGCATTGCTACAGGGGGGGGGTACATTGGGACATGTCCTGATTTTTGGGGAGGTTTCCTCACTTCTCCCCCTGTGCTAACCCCACTTTCCGAGAGCTGCTCTTAGAAGCCCCCAGAGCTGCTCTTAGTAGTTTCGAAACTCATGATTCCACCCAACTCAACCTGTGTGGTGCTTGTCTGTGTTTTCTGCGTCCCCGTCCGCCAAGCGCATGTTACCCGACTGCTCTCTTGCTCCTGCCCCAAGGTATCTGCCCCACCCCCAACTCTATAAGTCGTTGTCTAATTTTTTCATCTCTTTCCACTAGACTCCAGCTGCAATTCCTGTACCATTGCTTTCATTGTTGTTCACCATCTCTTACAGATTATGTTCCTCATTTTGTATCCTAAGACCTAAGTCCCATAGGGCCCTTTTCACCATGACCCCAACCAACCTCAGAAAAGCAGGTCGAGCCAGAATCGATGGGGTCTCCCAATTGGCGCCTGAATACCAGGCGCCCGCCAGCCATCAATAAGAATTATTCATTTTGAAGCTAGTGGTTCTACAGTTGAATTGTTGCGAGGAACTGTTCACCAGGTTGGTGGCGCCAAAAGTTGAGTGCCTGCGGGAGAAAAAGGAAGCTCTAACTGGAGTAAAGTGTTCGCTGCTCAGTTGGTAGAAGTGGAATGGCTCCTGACCGACACTCATCCATTCCTCCTAAAAAAGGAACGGCACGTGGAAGATGATACATCCGCAGTTAGACTTGGGATGTCTTCAGCAACTTTACTTCAGGAATGGCAAACCTTCTCCGAC